GTGCTGTGGACTTATCCGTTGGAAAAAAAAAAAAAAAGAGATATAGATCTATCTATCTCTATCTATAGAGAAAGGGATAGCAGTTTCGTTGCAGTTTCTGCACTTTTGTTTATCTATAGAGAAAGGGATAGCGTTTTGTTGCAGTTTCTGCACTTTTGTTTGCTTTTAGCTGAAAAACAACTGAGATTTTTTGTTCTCTTGTTTTATTATTCATAGGTTTAATTGTCTGTATCCCTAATGTGTGCAAGTCCTCAGTGCAGGGACCACTCCTGACACTGAGCACAATCCCAGCACACAGCAGACGACTGACTGTATACTGACTGAACGGCTCTCCGTGCCCCCCACGTGGCACTGCTATGAGAGGAAGAAGCTTCTGTCGTGTGGCCGCCTCCCCCCCACCCGGCCCCCCTTTCTCACATGCTCTCCTTCCATGCACGTCCTCAACAGCAGCTGCAACAGGACGCAGGTCTGGAAAACTGGAATGAAATCACACTAGAAAGCTGGACATCTAGGCAGCTACATGATCAGCTCAGGCTGGGTTTTGCTCCTTCCTGCCAGCCCTGCTTGCAGAAGGGTATATGTTTAGGAAACTTAGCCAGAAAGAAATCCAGTGAAAATGAGCTATGAAACTTGGACATCCTGGAGAAATAATATTTACAGAGGAAACTCTCGAGACGAACTCTCACCAGCGCAACAGCCCTGGTGCTGGGGCTCCTGGCTGAGGGCTGCAGTCATGTGCTAAGTAGCCTCTGGCTCTTGTTTACTCTGTGAGGCTTTTCACGGCCATGGTGAGACTGCACCAATGGCAAGCCAACTCTTAGCCCCGTGGCCAGACAAATGGGTACTCTCTAAGGCAGCAGAACAGAAATGAACCAGGAAATGGAAAGCTTTTAAAATATCTTCCCTGATGACTTAAAAGAGCCTGCCCTTATGGAATTCTGTAGCACCTATAATGTGTTTGACTAAATACCTCCATTTATGGGTGGTAGGTGGAAAAAAGTCCCAGGCAACTAACCTCACTCCATTCCGTGGACACAAATGGGATCCTGGATGAACACTCGCCATCTTGTACACGTCTGATCTCGAATGAGAGAGGTTCTGAGCAGGGGAGTGTGGCTGGATTTGGACCAACCCATCCCATAAAGTGTAGCCCAAGAGGGTGTGTGAAAGAGAGGAAAAACCAGGATACCTGGAGTCCTCAAGCCTGGGTCTGGTCAGGTTTTGTTCCTTCTTGTAAGTAAATCTTTTGTGAAACATGCTCTTAACAAGCTTCAGCCCCTCAACTGCAGGGCAGTGCCAGCTTCCTCCAGGGATTGCTGTGAGATGAGGCCACATAAGCACAGCAGAAATGATAATAACAGTACTGGCCACTCCCCATGCATTGGATCACTTAATCCCCCAACAACTATCATTATGGATAAGGAGACAGAGGTAAATAATTTGCCCAGTGATTGCACAGGTAACACATGGCTAAGCCAGCATTTAAATTCATGCACTTTGATTCTGGAGTCCACACTGTTTAATCTCACACTGTATACATCAAGACAGAAACTAGCATGATGCCTGCCTGGCACATTATAGGTGATCAATAAATGGCTATCCTCCTCCTTTGGTCTCTCTTAAATATGAAAGATTATGTTAAGAAACTGACAGGAAAATCTATGTGAAAGTTCTCAGAAAACCATGAGGTCTGAAAACCATGAAAATACAGGACTTTTTTTTTTTAAGGCTTTATTGAGATATAATTCAGATACCATACAATTTATCCATTTAAAGTATATGATTCAGTTCTTCTTACCACTTTTCTTATCAGAGTTGTGCAATCATCTTCACAATCAATTTTAGGACATTTTCAAAAAGAAACCCCTCATTCCTTAACCATAATTCCCCAGCTCCACCCCACCCCCGTCCAGGCCCTGGCTGCCACTAATCTACTTGCTGTCTTTATGGACTTGCCTGTTTGGGACATTTCATTTAAATGGAATCATAAAACATGTGGTCCTTTCGGACTGGCTTTTTTTTTTTTTTCCACTTAGCACTGTGTCTTCAAGATTCATCCAAGTTGTGGCATGTATAAGTACCTCCTTCCTTTTTATTGCTGAATAATATTCTATGGCATGTAGTAGTATTATTAAAGTATCTACTTGCTTCATAGACTGTTTGGCCTGGAAAAAACTGTATAGAGATTGAACCCAAACACCTTCCATTTTACTGATAAGGAGACTGTGGCCGAGAGTGGCTAAGTAGCCTACCCAAGGCCACCTGCTGGTTGGTGGCAGAACCCAGCTGTACACCTCTCAACTTGGTCCCATCTTAACTTCGCTCCACAGGGTGTTACTAGAAACATAATTCAAGTGCACAGCTGACTGATGATGGACCAGCAGAATCGTCTCTGCCAATATTAGCCTAATGTCATTCATTCAGCAAATATATATTGACCGTCCTCTGTGTGCAGGTCACTGTGTGAGGTGCTGGGGACTCAACGGGCAACAGGACAGGCAAGATCCCTGCCCTTCCTCTCACAGTGTACATTCTCCTGGGGAGGCAGACATAAATGGGTAAACCCCGAAATAATAAAATAATTGTATGGTAAGTGCCACGAAAGAAACAGAGCAGACAAGAGGCCAGGAAAGAATGATGTGGCATTAGTGGGAGGTGAAAGTACAGAGAGTCATAAGGTACTCGGGGGAGGCCTCTCTGAGGAGGGATATTTATGCTGAGGCCTGGAGGAGAGCCAACCTTGTAACTGTCTGGAGGAAGAAGGTACCAGACAGAGGACATAGCATGTGCAAAGATCCTGGGGCAGGAAAGAGCTTTGTGTGTTGAAGGAGTGGAAGAGGTGACACAGAGTGACTGAGCAGTGAGTGTTGTGATTTGAGGCTAGAGAGGGCAGGGACCAGATCACCACAGAGGCCCTTTGGCCTGTTCTCTCATGACTACACTCTCCGAGCTAACCAAAGATAGGAAGACCTGTGGGAAAGTAGATCAGTGGCTTCCAGTTCCCTTCCTGTGAATTAAACTCCACTCACCACAGGAAGCTAGAGGAAGTCCTGAGTCTCTATAGCAAAGACTTCCAAGGACAAGAGAATTGCATCTTCAGGGAGGGTGACATAACTACGTATCACCCTTGGGATGAATCAGAAGACAAGGAAACAAAGGGAAATGAGAAAATACAGGCACATTAATAGGGAAGTGGTTAAATGACTGTGGTATAGCCACATAATGGAGCACGATTCAACTAGCAAAATGAATAAAATTAACTTTTTCAGTACTGATGTAGAAGGATTTTGAGTTAGTCATTAAGCAAAAGCACGCTGCAGACCATGTCTATAATATGTTACCATTTGTGTGAAACAAAAGGTGTGAAATAGTATGTATTTGGCAATATATGCATACGATCCCTCTAGAAGGATACACATAAGACGTGTCTAGGAGGGTTTCCTTGTCTGTCTCTGTCTCAGTCTCTGCCCGGGGGAATGTACATGTACACCCTGTAGGAAGGGCAAGGATCTTGTCTGCCCTGTTTACGTTGTGTCTCCATTGGTTGCAAGGAGGTATGGGGGGAGGGGACTTTTCTCTGTCTCCTCTGATATGGTTTACAGATTTGAAACATGTGAATGTATTTCCTGTTCAAAGAAATTAAATAAAAAATTAAAACAAAGAAAAGACAATGAGGGGTCCAGATCTGCCCACCAAGGCCCTGCGTTCCAGCCTCCCCTACCCCTCAGCCTCTGATAAGCTGACCCTTAGAGACAGTCAGCTTGTCCTCCTGGAGAACTATTGGGTGGCCACTGTTTCCTGGTCTAGATTTCACTCCCAGTCGTAATGACGGTTGTAACCGTCTGCTGACCAAAGAAATTGTCCAGAAGAATCCAGAATCAATTCCATTTTTCAATGTGAACCATCAAAGTGCCTCCCTCCAGAGGCACCCCAGGGTGAATGAACAAATGAATAATTATCAAGTGGGTATTGGATTCCAATTATGTATCCAGCACTGGGCAAGGCGCCTTAGGAGAATCAATCAGTGTGAGCGGGGAGAGTGTAACTCACAGTCCTCGCCCTCGATCTCAAGGCTTCTCAACCTGGCACTATCGACTCTTTGGGCTGATAATTCTTTGTTGTGGGGGCTGTCCTAAGCAGTGCAAGATGTTTAGCAGCATCCCTGGCCTTTATCTGCTAGATGCCAATAGCACACCACTTCCTCCAGCTGTGACAACCCAAACTGTCTCCAGACATTGCCAAATGTCCCCTGTGGAACAAAGTCACCCCCAGCTAAGAACCACTGTTCTCATCACTGCGTTTCCAGGTAACTGCTTCATTCCCTCAGTCAGAAGTGGGGATTCTTCCTCTGGCTGTACCCTAGTTAGGTTGTCAGAGAGGTGAAGGGGTTGACTGAATTTCATTGTGGGTGGGTTCCCTGAATTTCATATGTGGCCACCCATCCTCACTCCCTGGGAACCTCTTCTGTCTGGGAAAATTACAATCTCAGATTTGAAAAAATAACAATGTGTTGACAAGTGTCTCTCCCACGCCTAGAAGGCCTAGGCCATAAAAAGGCACCCCGCATAGCAGGGGTGATAACTAAAGCAGAACGTGCTCAGGCCATGCCTGCTTCTAGCACCCCCAGACTGCTGGAACCATGGAGCCCAGGAAGCGAATGCCATAGCCTCCTGTGATTGTCTTCCTCCAGGGGACAGAGAGCGGAGAGGGGCACTGTGAAGGTGCCCACAGGGCCACTTAGCAACAAACAGGGTGGACAGGTAGGTAGGCCAGCCTGCTGTGGTCTGTCCTCCCTCTCTCAAGAACACAATTCCCAATGGGCAGCTTTCTTTGGAAGGCAAAGAAAAGGGACAGTATTTCCACGTTTTGATTAATTTGGGGCTCATCCTTGTGGGCAACATGAATGAGCAGAATTTTCCATCGCCAACTGTCCTGGCTGCCGGGCTCTATGGGCAAGAGCTAGTGTTTATTTACTTTTGCTCATGTTATTTTTATTCCAGTTCAGCTGCAGCTCAGTGCGGAAAGCGTGGGTGAGGTGTATATAAAGAGCACCGAGACCGGCCAGTACTTGGCCATGGACACCGACGGGCTTTTATACGGCTCAGTAAGTATGAGGCTGACTTGCTTCCAGATACAGCCGAGGTTTGAGGTTTCCAGAAATCTTGTTACATCGAGTGATGCAAACTATAAAGCAACAATTAGTCTCTGTTTGTTGTTTTTTCCAGTAGGATTCCCACCCTCTACCCTGTCTTATTTTAGGCACAAACATAAAAGGGTTTCTTGTGGTATTCTCTCAAAATACTCAGATGTATTATCATATAAACATAGAGGAAACATTGATTGATGTTTTGGTAACTCATCCGTTACTCATTTCAGAATATCTAATCCCACTTCATTCATTCATTCCAAAAACGTTTCTTGAGCACCTACTACATGCTATGGGTGTGTCTCTTAATGCTTTTTACAAAAATTGCAGAGCCCTGACTCTAGTAGTTCATATGTCATGCATAAAACTTTGAAAAGAGCTCCTCTTACTCTGGAAGGACCACCTAAAAGGATGAAAAGTTTAATGCCTTAATTCAGCATTTATCAAATGCCTCCTGTGTCTAAGTGCTGTGTTAGATCCTTAAAGCGGTGTAAGGATGAATGAGCCACATGCAGAGGTGTGGTCTGTTTATTCAATATCTAAAATCTTCCACATCACCTGCTTGTCCCTCTCATAGTTACTGCTTTATATGGGTTTGACCCAGTGTATAGGTCTTTGTGAGAAAGCAATAGAAATGGAGGTAATCTTATTTTGTTCCTATTGGTTTCTCTGTCAAAAGATTTAACTGGAGAGAGAGCTGAAACCAATGACTGCTAGATTTAAAATTATTTCTGGATTTTGGTGATTCCTTCTCTGTAACCTAACAGTTTATAATTAAGGCGGGGCTGTCATGCATGACCCTATCCAGAACCCCTTCCTTCCTTTCATGAAGATGTCTATAAAAAGGCAGCCAGTGGGGGGATTTTAGTCTGGGGCTTCCTTTAACTCCTATCAAATTGCCAAGTAACAGTGGGCGCAGGAAACCCTCTCCTGAAGCAGTAATCTCAGCCATCTGAGATGTTCCAGATGTAATCTCTTTTTTCTCATGCTGCCCGCTAGGGGTCAGGAGATGAAATCATCTGAGTAAGAAGTGGCCTCTAATATGCCGTTTGCTGAAATACAGGTCAACCAGGACAAGTTTAAGGGGTTTGGAGCATAGGTAGTGACTGCTACGTGGGGAGTCGACTTCTTTTTTAAGGCAGTACTTCCCCTTACTAATCAAGTCAATCAATCCATCATTCAGTCTTAGACTCATAATTGAATCCCACAGTTATGCCACTTTGGCAAGTTACTTACTCTTGTCCAAAATGGGGACAGTAACCACCTCATACAGAGCTTGAGAGGATCCAGTGAGACGACACACAGAATGCACCCACCACAGCGCCTGGCGCGTGGGAGGCACCACATCCATGGTAGCCACAGGACAAATAATCAGCTTATTAATCCCAACTCTCACTGTGTCTTAGGTTACAGGTTACAGTTTTATGGCTTTTCCCCCATTAAATCAATTTTGATGTTTATTACAACCTTCTTTTCCTTACATAAAAATATTGAGGGGAAACTCCCCAAATACAATTTTCTCCAGGCCCCAGGCACCCCCTTCTCCTACCATAGCCCTGGCCGGCACTGTAATTCACCTGAAATATGATCTTAGTGTATTATGCCTAAGGAATTTTGCATTTTCCCACTAATAAAGAGAAGTTCTAAAATATCTCAAGGCTCTGCTTTATGCTCTTATCACATTTTAAGTTTTAGTCCATCCCGATTCAAATTTGTGTGTGTGTGGAAAGGTTGTATTTACTTACAAAATAAGTTTGAAAGACTATATACCAAAATATTAATATCTCTGGGGGTGGTAAGTGGGTGATTTGATAATATATATCAAAATATATAAATAAATACCTTCATGTATTTTCCAAATTTTCTACAGTGAGTATATGTCACGTATGTAATTGGGAAAAAAGCATGCTAAATATAACCATGAAAACAATGGGCATGAATCTATAGTTGATCCACATGCCCTCTGCATTGTACCAAGTGCGCAACAAGCACTGACAAATCCTGCTTGAGGGACAGAGCTCCGCCGACTTGGCCTGCTGACTCAGCCTATGACTCAGCCATTCTGCATAGGTCAACTGCACCAGTGTAATAGAGACATCAGGTGGGGAATGTGGCCGTCCTCACCTTCGTCACAGCAAATAGGCCTGACGCCCACTGAGGGGCATCATGGGGTGAGACCCCCTACTGGGGAGTGGGCAACCCACACGGGTCCACATCTGCCCACCTCCTTCCACCCCCAGCAATGTGCATCAAACACTAAATGTCTGGACTAAGTTCCTCTAGAGGCAGCAGAGTCATCCTATTAAATATATTTATATCCTATCTTGTTCCAAAATGACCTAAAGTGTCTCACCCAGTTGTCATTTCACTAGACTATAAATAAATAAGAAGCAGGAAACGTCCTGTTACCTAGTCCCTTACTAATAAAAGCTAATTGTATTGACTGCTGTCCATTGTCTCAAGAATCAAAGTAAAGTCACTACTTAGCTGGTCAGCACCTATTATTTGCAAAGCCCTGCGTCTGAGGGGTAGACACAGAGCTGACAGGACTCCATCACTTTCCTCAGTAGGGTTTATAGTCTGATAGGATGAACATGCTCACAAATAGAGAACAATGAACAATATGATTGGAAACTGCCAGAAAGGGAATCACCAACCCCTGCGGGTGAAGAGAGACTATAGAGATAGTATGACTCAAAAAAGGAGAAAAGTCAGATGTGTTAGGTCCCTGGAAGGACAACACACAGCATCAGTGATTTGCTATATCTGTTTTAAATCCAAATATAACAAATGTATTCTAAAATGCTGACAAATAAAGAAGAAGAAAAAAAGATGTTCATTATTCAGATATTAAACCTGAAAGAAGAAGAAAAATAAATAAATAAAATAGCCTTTCTTTAAAAAAAAAAAAAAAAGCCAGAAAGCAAACCTCAGGCTCAGAAGCTCTGATGGGCAACAGTGTCTGGCCAGATTTAATAATTTTTTATTTTCCTAATTTTTCTATGATTACCGTATTTAAAGCAATTCGTTCTCCATTTACTTAGTGATACAAAATACACTCATAAAACAATTTTATATGCCTTGAATACACACAGAGCAACTCTAGAAGGACAGACAAGAAACTGGTAACAGAGGTTGCCTTGATTTTAGGGCCACTTAGCAGCTGGGGGCAGGAATGGAATTCAACTTACTTTTAACAGTTTACCCTGTAAAAATCTGTACCATGTGTATGTGTTACCTATTCAAAAAATAAACCTTAATTTAAAAATAAATTTAAGCAAAGAAAATAAAATAAAATGCTGACAAATAGAAAGTTCAAAAACTGGGTTCCCCCCACTAACAGATGAATTACAAGTAAACAAAACAGGGGTTGGTAGATATTTTTCAAGTAACTACACTATTTAATATGTGTGGCTATATTTCCAGCTTAATAGATTTAGAGCTGCACTAGATTCCACTGTACGGAAGTGCCTTTTCATGCATATGTAGGTTGCTTCCAATTTGTTGCCATTCTATTCAATGCTTCAAAGACCACCTGGAAAATACAGTTTCACACTTGCTTAACTATCTCCTAAGGGTCAATTTCTAGAAGTGAAATTTCCAGGTCAAAGGTAATGCATATTTTAAATTTTGATTCACATTGCCACTCTACCCTCAGAAAGTTTCCACCAATTTATCTCACCAACGTGTGTGTTTTCTGCACTCTCACCAATACTAAGACTTATAAATGTTTTTAATCGTTGCAGATACTACAGCAAATATATGATAAATAATTTAATTTGCATTTTTCTTGCTACTGGTAGTGAATATGTTTTCTTAGGTTTATTGCCTTCTTTTAAAACAGCACATAAAACATGCCATTTTGACATCAAAAGTCTATATCCATATAGCCTCGTCTATTGTGTGTATATATAAAGAGATATAGGGAAGGACGTTTATCAACTGTTAACAGTTGCCTCTTTCTGATGGTGGGCTTTGGAGTGCTTTTTTCTTTTAAATAAAGTTGCAATTTTTTTTAAAGTTCAATTCTTTTATAAGTAGCATCTTTTTATGACTCTTCTTATTAAGTAGTGAAAACAAAGTTATTTTCATGTTTTAAACACTTATTTAAGTTCCAGCATATGTTTTACGTTTAGGACAAATTTTGCACAAGCATTTATGCTCGTAAAAATACTGAGGTAAAAATCTTTATATTGTTAGTGAAAATCACTGGGAGGAAAAGGAATATTAGCAGGTTTTCATTTATTCTTCAAGTCCAAATGTGAAAATCCCCGCTGCATTGTGGTCTGGTTTTGCCCATTATGAATGTTTTTCCATGGTCATGCCTATGTGCCAGGCCTCTCCAGAGACAAAAGATCATCCCTACCCTCAAGGTACTTATAGTCAAGTAGAATCTCCTCAACAGGAGATTCTAGAGTCCTGCAGACAGTAAATGGCAGGGGAACTTAGAATAATAGCAAATTCATATTTAAGGCTCATTTGTACTGGGTGCTGTTCTCGGTCCTCATGACTATCCTTTGAGACAGGTTCTACCATTATCCCAATTTTCCTGAAAAAGAGACTGAGGCACAGAGAGCTTTAGTAACTTTTCCAAGGTAACACAGCTAGTAAATGGAGGAACTCCATTTAAAACCATTCATTGAAGGCTGACCCTGTGGCGCACTCGGGAGAGTGCAGCGCTGGGAGTGCAGCAGTGCTCCTGCCGCGGGTTCGGATCCTATATAGGGATGACCGGTGCGCTCACAGCGCTCACTGGCTGAGCGCGGTGCGGCCGGTCTCAAAAAGGACAAAAAAAAACAACCATTCATTGATAGTTCTGTTCTCTTTTGGTTTTGTATTTTTAGCAGACACCAAATGAGGAATGTTTGTTCCTGGAAAGGCTGGAGGAAAACCATTACAACACCTACATATCCAAGAAGCATGCAGAGAAAAATTGGTTTGTTGGCCTCAAGAAGAATGGAAGCTGCAAACGCGGTCCTCGGACTCACTATGGCCAGAAAGCAATCTTGTTTCTCCCCCTGCCAGTCTCCTCTGATTAAAGAAATCTGTTCTGGGTGCCGACCACTCCAGAGGAGCCTTGAGGAGTCCTTACCTGGTTGACCCCCAAAAGTTCCTTTGACTATTGGCTGCACTAACCCCCAGCCCACAGAGCCTGAATTTGTAAGCAATGTGCTTCTAAATGTCCAGTTCACTTTTTTGTAGTGCCCTTTACCCCAGCACGGTTTGGGACAGAGGGACCAAATTGCTTCTAGGGTCCAACTGGCTGGCCAGTCTGGGTCTGGGTTTGGATGTCCAGTTGCCTCTGGACACCTGCTGCAGGCTGAGCCTCTCAGTGCAAAGGTGGAGCCGAATGAAGTGTGGTAAGGGGGCTGCCAAGTGGGTCATTAGTAATTTGCACACCACTTCCCTCCCGTGGGTAAAACCTGTCTGCGATTCCCCCAAACATCCGGCATGACTCCCTTTTCTCCTTTCAGTACCCCACAAATATTAACAGAGAAGCTTATAGGTTGGTTAAAAGAAGGCAGCATTCCATGAATAGAAACATGGACAAAGAAATCTCCCTTCTAGAAGGGATTTAAAACGGAAAGGGGAGATTGGATTTTTGGTGGGCAGCTTAAAAGGATGGGATTTCCATGTAGCATAAATGAAGGAGGGAGGTTCAGCCACAGGAAAGCAGAATAAATCCACAGCCTCGGGAGTCATTACTATGCCTTGACCTTCCCAAGGTTATCGGAGCTGCAGGAAACCCCTGGATGATGTCAGGTGGAGAGCACGAGACGTGGTTTCTTGATAAAAGCAAGGACATCGGATGTTGGGAAATTCATCTGGGTCTGGGGAGCGGGCGTGGGAGTGATGAGAAAGAAAGGGAAACATGATCTGGGGGATGTTATTCCTGAACAGGATGATTTGAGAAGTGAGAGGGGAAGATAAATTGACATTGGGCATGTGTCGTGCTTGGCCACAGTAAGCTGAGCCTTTGAGGTCCCAGAGCGGTGCTTCTCCAGCTCTGACATGTCTGCATGTCATCTCGGGTCTGCTTTGAATGCAGATTTTGATTCAGCGGGTCTGGGGTCGAGGTTCTGCATTTCCAACAGGCTCCCAGGTGCTGTGGACGCTGCTGCTTTCCCCCACCACACCTTAAGGAGCACTGTATTCAATGACAGTGGCTCAAATCCCCCACCATCACCTCACCCCCACCCTTGAAAACGCACCCCCACGACTCTCCCTGAATGTTCAGGCAGCATCAAGGGTAGGAAGGCCTGAGTTAAGGAGCATGATTTTAAGGCGCTTTGGCCCAAAGCCTATAAAATGCCCGTTTAGAAGATAGACAAAACATACTTCAAAAATGTTAAACCCTCACAGTTTTTCCCAGGAGACTATTTGTGTTACCATAACTTGTATAAATATGCTTTCTGCTTAAAGTAAACTTGACCAAGTGGCTAGCAAATTAGAAACACCATTCATCTCTGACATACGATACTGATGCCATGTAAAGGCCTTTTATAAGCCATTTTAAATGCACTGTGATACTGTATGTTTTAATTACATTTTAAATATATAGCTCAAAAACTGTTAAACCGTTTAGCATTCAGCCACTGAGAATGGTAATAATAGGATACAACGTATAAACTACTCAATCATCTAATACTTACATTTACCTACACAATGAGATTTTTCTGTTTTCCACTGTGCTGTTACAAATTTTCTTCTGAAAATGGAGACTTTTTATGCTATAATTGTGGATAAAAACTGATGTGAGTGTTAGCTTGCGTTATGTAAGGAACCGAAGTAATTATTAACTGAAGAATAATTCCTTAGTAATTGAACTGTCATATTTAGAATGGAAGAAAAAACAATAATTTGTGATATTTCAAAGCAATAGTGCAATTGAAGAATTGAACTAAGTAAGCTGACATTATGGGTAACAATAGTTTTCTGCATTTGTACAGCAAAATAATTTCATAACCTTTTTTTGTTTTTGTAAGTTGGATAAGATGATTTTATTTTATTTTAGTAAATCTTTGCAGGCAAGTTGGGGATAAGGCAGTATGGTTTAACATCTTTTTAGTATGGAAATTTGGCCAGAAAAAGGTACCCCGAGAGGAAATCTAAGATATTTACAATGGTCCATAATTTTTATTGGATGAGTCCATTTCAAGTATAACATTGGCCAAGAAAAGTTAAATACCATTGCTAACAGATGAGACGAAAGTCTGTGATTTCAGAAACCCAAAACAATGTAGTAGAAACACTTTTGTGACTGGGACACTCTCAGCCCAGTCATCACTCATGTATTCATTCAATGTATATTAAGTGCCTACTGTGTGCCAGGCACTGTACTGGGGGCCTTGTCTGTTAGGTTCGCTGCTGTATCCTCTCCCAGGGCATTATATTTATGATTAAAGATGCTGTAGATTCATTTCTTTCAGTCAAGTGAAAACAAGGACTTTGTAGATTCCTGCTGAATAAACAGCAGGTTCCAGAAACCCAGGTTTTGGAAGAATTAGTCACTCTCAGCATAAGATAAACCCTTATCAAAGTGTCAGAGGACGTGGCAAGGTAAACTGAACATTTTCAACTTTGGAACCCTGTCAGCTTCAGGGAGACTGCTTTCGCATCAGGAGAAGATCCGGCCAGATCTTGTGAGAAGGGAGTGGTTGGCAGTTCTCTGCTCTGTTCCGAACACGCTGTAGTTCCTTAAACATGGGAACATGGCTCTCTCTCTTCCTGAAGTACGTCTCACAGCCATCTGCCTGTCATGTGCCTCTCACGTGGATTCGTTTTCAGGCCAACTGTTAGGAGCTGCCTGACACTCTGTACAAAGCACCGGGAGCACATGTGCTTTCGATTGTTTGCAATGCAGTGGTGGTGGAGGTTGTTATCTGCTTCCTTGGAAGAGATAATAATTAAAGCCTCCTCTGGCCAACAGTGTGTATGTACGAAAAACTGATTGGAGCATCAGCTGTTCCTCAAGAATGAGATCTTTACTTAGTGTAGGAGGCAAGAGAGCCCCAGTCCTCAGTCTTGTAGAGCGCACTGCCTAAACCAACCAAGCTCACAGGCTGCAAAGCAGATCTCTGACGAAGACGACGCCTGTCATTTTACATCTGTCTCTTTTTTTTTTGTATCACAGTCTGTACCTTACAAATATTAATAAATGTTCTATTAGTAGGTGATAACGTCTCTGACTTTCTGAACACCATGGTGCCTCATCTCTCCCACCCCACCCCACCTCCACATCCCTGTGGTGTGGCTGCTTATCTTGTTACCAGATATGAGACTTTAAAGGCTGGCAGGAAAAGCTAAGGTGGAAACATTTTTTATTTTGTTTGGAAACATAAGGCACTGTGGGTGATTTTCTAGGTTTCTGTGAGGGAAATATACTCAGGAAATTTGCTCCCTGAGCAGCCATGCACCATAAATAAATCAGCTGAAACTTTTTCTTCATAGTATAAACCAGGAGAAATTATGCTACTATTGTCAAGTTGACCAGCTTGTGCTTAGACAAAGATATTTTGATGTGAAAAAAATATTTAAGAACTTATTTACAACTTTAAATCAATGCCAAGAGAGTGTATCTCTTTCTCTCAAGAGCCCTGATATGGGGCTATAGATTTGTCCATCACATTTTCTGAATTATCATACTAAGCAATGTTTCCTTAAATAAATCTCTGAATATTATGTCCTATTCTTAGGAGGAAGTACACTGTTGTCTAACATATCGTGGCAGGATCAGATCACACACACACGCATGCACACATGTGCACACACACATGCGTGTGCAGGCACCACCTACAAAACAAGTTGGGCAGTGTGTGTTCACTCTGCTAATTACATACCACAGTCAATTCCTCCTTTTCCTTCTAAAGTTGCCTAAAGCATTATGTGCACACACACATGCGTGTGCAGGCACCACCTACAAAACAAGTTGGGCAGTGTGTGTTCGCTCTGCTAATTACATACCACAATCAATTCCTCCTTTTCCTTCTAAAGTTGCCTAAAGCATGGTGTTTCTCCTTCTTCGAACTTGGTCCACAGTAAGAGCTACATTTTCCATTACAGCCTGGCACATATATACCCTTTACACATACACACAAACTGATACAAAAAATGTCTCAAATCTATATGAGACGCACTTGATTTTCCTATTATATTCCACTAGAAAATACTGGTGAAACATCAGTTAAATTGGGTCACAACATTAATGGGTCACAACCATGGCTTTAAAAACACTGGTTTAAAGCAACCCTTCTCCTTCACAAAGATGGTGAGTCCCAATTAGGATCCTGTGTTATGACTGTAGCATTTTCAAAAACAAGGTTTTCTCTTGAATAAACAAGACATGGGGATATCCCGTTGCCCAGGAACCATCTGTTCGGAAGGCTCAGTGAATTCTTTTCACCCAGTGTGCTGCTAATCATGAAATATGAATGGAATGATCCAGATTCCATGGTGCCTCCGATGCTGGTCTTTACAGAGTTCTGCTTTTGGGAGCCCTAGAGATTTTGACCACCTCCCCTCCTTTGGAATTCTCATCACTTTGGGTCATCACTCCCTTACTCCTGCTGTCTTCACTTCATTCCTCTCTCTTGCCCCCCGAATTCCTATTTCATAATCATTTCTTAAAAGGACATAAAAAGTAGACTGAGCCAAGAAATGGCTATAAACTTGGGACCTCTGAGCATCCTCCTCAGCCCCCACCACTTTCTGGAAATTACCTTCTCACCTCTTATCTACCTAAAAAAAAGAAAAGAAGGAAAAGAAAAAAGAAAAAGCCAGTTTACCATTTATGACTCAGTTGTAAGATAAATGCTGCTGCCACTGGAATACAGCTCATACAGGGATTTTAAAATTCCCATCTGCTGAACCAACTAAAAAAAGCAATTTCTATGCCCTAAGTGTTTGAGAATGGGCCTCTTATTGTTGAACTTGACCACAGGGAAAAATATAAATAAAGTCATCGCTTTTCATATTGGGGCAGGAAGGGGAGGAGAACGTCAAATCCCAAGCACTTTGGGGCTGTGGTTATATTAGCTAATATGGTAATAGTGGCACAAACAAAAACGTGCCTTCAACTGTACTTTCACAAATTAACCAACATTGATTTTAGGAGTAGTGACAGTGTGGGAATATTTAAGCCCAACCAAGCAGTGGGACTTGAATGTTCTCTATTTCAAAATGAGTAGGGATGTTTTGTTTGACAATGTTAAAACTGAAATAATGGCTAGTAAAAAGCGGCACCT